CTCTTGCTCAAATGGAAAAGAAAGGAAAAGAATCTAAACTTCACCACACAAATAAGTAGAAAAATAATGCAATTCTCTGCCAGCACGTAACAGCAGGCTGGGAACACTTTAACCAGCTATTTTCGCTGTGATGTTTAATACGCCACTCTCTCAAGCATAGTCTGAAATGTATAATTTTCCATTATATTCCTGTATGTTTGACATTAATATAATGAAGCCTTCTCCCTTCACTACACCAGAATATTGGGTCTATTAAATTGCTTGTGCGAGGGCTATTTTTGACAACAGAAAAAGCTGAAGGCCAAGAAAATGGTGGTGCCTGCAAACCCCTCTCCTTCCCCAGCCTCTAGCCTCTGGCCAACAGTTGTAATTCATCACTGGGACAATCCTCCTGGCATCACCTTTCCCAGGAGGACACAATTTGTCTCTCAGCCCTGTGTGACTGTGCCAGGATTTGATCTCTAGGGTAGAAGGGTTTGGTGCTTCCATGATTTCAATTTTCCTTATAAAGTCAGGGATGAGAACCATCAAGCAAACCCAAAACCACTCCAAGGGGAGATGAATGGCAGAGGCACAGCTTGCCAAAAACCTTCCCCAGAAGTCACAGGGTGACCTGAAGCAGAAGCCACCTCCAAAAGGACCAAGGGAAAGGAGGACAAGGGCATTTCTTGGGGGGGGGAACCAAACATATTGCAAAACCAAGCCACAATTCTGGTCTCTCTCCAGAAGGAAGAAGTTTCTCTCAAGCAAATCGAGGTTGGCGAAGGATGCCGGCTGCATCTCAACTCTTTTATTTGCACACATACAGCAGCCAGCCCTGCCAGCAGACCCGGCCAGCTCCCAGCACACCCAAGGAAGCTCTGCCAGCCTGGAGCCGGGGCAGGGCTGTAGCTGCAAGGACAGCACATCCACATTCCACCCCAAGCTGCAGCTCCAGCTATCTGCAATACAAATCCATTCGGCTGTACAGCCACAGTGGCCACGACCTGGCTGGAGAGCCATGGGCAAGCTGGGGCACACACAAAGTAACCCTGAAATATTGCTGAAGCATATACAGACCATGCTTTACTGTGAGGGTGGTCAGACACTGGCCCAGGTTGCCCAGAGAAGCTGTGGTTGCTCCTCCCTGGAAGTGTTCAAGGCCAGGTTGGATGAGGCTTTGAGCAACCTGGTCTAGTGGAAGGTGTCCCTGCTGCTGGCAGGGGGGTTGGAATGGGATTATCTTTAAGGTCCCTTCCAACCCAAACCAGTCTGTGATTCTATGAAATCCCCCCAGAGAAATGATGCTCTAAACCCGGGTAAGCTTTTGTCAGCTTGACCATATCAGAATGATGACCAGGTTCATGAAACCACCTCCCAAAGCCCTCGAGGGGTTCCCAGCACCCTGGTTCCCAGACCCCAGGACAACTTGGCTGTCACCAGGAAAAGCTGATGACAGAGGCAGAGCAAAAAAAGACATCTAACAGCTTCCCACAACATCCCATGTCCCCCCAAAATGTTTTACTGAGTTTTGCCTGGAAGATGCAAAACTGAAGTTGTGGGATAAGAGATTTTTCAGACATACAACAACAACAACAAAATCAATTTCGTGTCAGTTTTCAATTTCCAACATTTCCACCCATCAAAGAGAGGAGAAATGTGTTTCAGGTTTGGCAATCTGGGTTGGTGAATCAAAGGGAAATGCATCATTTCAGATACGAGCCTTCCTTTCCATAAACTGGCAGAGGATTTTCATACAAAGGCAGGCAGATGGGAAACAAAAATATGTTATTTCATTCCAGTAATGTGGGAATGAAATGTTTGGAGTGAAAAAATAAATTGATGGTGGTTATTGTGAAACACAGACAAATTTGTTAAATATTCTGATAACAAAACACCCCATTTCACCTTCAAGAAAAAAAAGGAGTCAGGAAAATAATGTCTCCAAGCTGCAGTACCGAGCTGGGAACAGCAACACTAAAGTGCCAGGCCACCAGCTCCTCCTGCTAATACCTGTTTTCAATTCCTG